AAAAGTGAAATATATAAGTTTTAAATTACTTTGCGACAGCATAGGCTTTGCTTTATAAAGTAGACCTATGTTTTTTGATATTTTAGTGTTTAAAGCATTTATGTGACTTTTCCAAGATAAATTTTATAAGACTTATAACAAATAAAACTCTGGAAATATTTTTATTTATTTTTATTCGAAATTTTTTTGATTATTTGTTTATTTTTTATTTTTTTTTATATTTAACAATTAAAAAGATATTAAAAACCTCAAATATTTTATGCTGGTTTGTTGCTATAAATAGTTATTGCGCCATATATTTAATGTTTATAAATTATGAATATTTATTATCTCAATCAAGACTCTGATAAAAATTGTTTTACATTAATTACCCGTATAAAATTAGTAGCAGCATTTTTATTTGGTTAGACGATATTTTGTTTTAATTTGCTTTTCATGAAAAGTCAAACGAAAAAAATTAGTTTGAATAGTCACGTCGAAATATATTTAAAAAAAAATTATTTTAATGACGGGGGTTCTAAAGTTTTTTATAACAAATGTAGGTAGAAAATAAATAACTAAATAAAAAGTTCAACATTAAAATCATTTCTTTATTATATTGCAACTGTAAATATTAAAATATTAACTTGAATTGAATTTACTTTTTATTTAGAACGACTAAGCAATAAAAATAAAATGCTCCTAAAATTATGCGATATTATGTTGTTTATTTGATAATATTATCAAATAAACAACAATTAATTGTTGTTGGTAATGTTGTTTATCTTGATTATTTTAATTAATATCAAAACAGCCCCAGACTAATCTGTTAGTTGCTTTGCTCATTGGTGATTTATTTCTAATTTAATTTTATCTATCTATATATATATATATATCTATATAGATATATAGATATATAGATAGATAAAATTAAATTAGAAATAAATATATTTTTCAATCTTTCAGATGACATAGTACTTCGTGTGTAATTTTTTAATCTTTCACAAGAAGAAGACATTACAGGTAATGTTCCTAAAATATGAAGGCAAACTCTGATATTTGCAAATACATTATTAGGAAGACTTTTTAAAGTACTCGAAATGTTATCTGGCAAGCAAATATTTTCCAGAAGCCAGTACCTTTCCCACAAATCAAGTTCTGCACTTAAAGAAATTATACATGGTAAAACAGTTACATAAAAATTAACAAAAGATTGGAGCCTAATTTTCCAGTCAATCTTTTTAGAGACAAAAGAAATCATTTTGTCTGGAATAATAACCAATTGTAAGCTAATAACCATCGTAAGCTACCAAAGCATCATCACTAAATCTGTAATTTACTTCACTTAGGAGGTGATCAGTAAGTGGGATAGATAATGATGTTTTGAAATAATCTGAAGTTGAAGAAGAAGCAACGTTATTTCTATTTGTTTGATGACTTGATAATCTTGGTTTAGCTTCTGCAACATTAACTTTAGAAGCAAGACAAGGAATAGAAGCATACCATGTGATAATCATCTATTAAATTTCTAAGTGTTAAGATATAACTTTTTAAAGCTGAAATAGAACCTAAACCATCACAAAAATCAAAATTTTTACCCTGAAATATTTGTGTAACAGGAATTGTGTAGTCAAGAACTGTCCGAGTTATCACTAAGGATGCAATATTGTCAAAACTTGTAACAAGTTTTAAAAAACAAGATGCTTGCGAGGAAGTATCTTTTGTACATTTTGATTCAAGGTTCAAGCTCATTCCTTCAAGACAAAAAACAATAGGTACAAACAAGTTTTCAAAATCATCCAACCCAGTTATGCGTTCAACCCATCTTGTACGACAAACATCAATTAATTTTTTCTTTGTAGCAAGAGGGCGATGTTCTGTAATAGCTACTTCTAATAAATTTTGTTGTGACTCTGAAAAATTAAAAAAAAATGACAATTGTTTTACATGCTGCACCATATTTCTAACTTCTTGTATCTTGCATGAATTTGTAACACTAAGATTAAGACGATGACTGAAGCAGTGAGTATACACTGCTTTATGGTTTAGGTCTTTTATTCTTTTAGCGATACCTTTAACATGACCAGTAGCAGATGATGCACCGTCGTAACCCTAACCTCTACAATTGGAAATATCAAGCAAAAAATCTTTAAGAGAAGATAAAATAGCTTTGCATAGAGCTTCACCTGTTAAACCTAATTCACAATGTCAAAAACCCAAAAATTCTTTCCTAACATCGTATGAATTGTCTATTAATATAATTAATAAAGACTTTCTGATTGGAGCAGTCAGATGCATCATCAGCAATAATTGAAAAAAAATGATTTTCTTTTATTTCAGAAACCAATATATTCTGGATGTACTGTCTACAACAACTTATTAATTCATTCTGTGACAAATTAGAAATATAAGATGCATTCTTTGCATAGTTATTAGTTATCAAGAACTTTATCCCCACCTCTGATTCTGTAGTTTAAAAGTTCAATAAAATTACCTACTCCGCCCATTAAAGAATATTTGCCAATAGTAGAATGATATTATTGAGAAACATCATAATGATCTCTGAAAGCTATATTAAGTCGGACTAAGAAAATGATTGCGTCAACAATTGGACGCAACTTCTCACGATTTAAAGCAATCTCCTTTTCATATTCTTTATTAATTAAAATATCTATATTTTGAATATTTCCATTCATAGTATTTAAAACTGAGGAAATAATATGGTCCAGGTATTATAATGTAGACTTTGTACAGCTGAGTGATGTTCATAAATATTTCCTTTTTTCCCATGATAATGTCTATTAAAAGTGCATACAGTATCTGGCCAGTATTTAAATGGCTGAAAATACAAATTTTTACATCTAGAAGCTTTTAAAGGGTATTTATATCCAAACAAAACGCAAAATAAACAAAATGCTCCATCTTCAGAAGGTGAATATCTAAGCCATGAAAATTGTTTGAACAATATAAGTTTGAAAGATCGCACATTTGTTTTTGGAAAAGAATAAGTTTCATCAGGAACAAAAACATTTCGAATCAAATTTTTTATTTGTAAATCTTTCAAAGTAGAATCTCATAGCATCATAGCGACACTATTTTAAAGTATGAACATAGAGATAATTAAAATTTCTGAATGGTTTAAATTAATAAAGCTTTCTCTTAATATTGAAAAAACAAAATGGTCTCTTTTTCATCCATGCTACAAAAAGTATCTTCTACCGAGTGAATTGCCTGATCTTTCTATAGATGACATGCAAATTAAAAGAGTAACGGCTACAAATTTTTTAGGAGTTTTTATTGATGAAAATCTGACATGGAAAAAACACATTGAAAACTTATCATCTAAAATTTCCAAAAGTATAGGAATACTATTCAAAATAAGAAACATGCTAAATAGACATACTTTAGTTCAGTTATATCACTCTTTTATTCATTGCCATCTAAACTATGCTAATGCGGCTTGGGGTAGTGTTAGCAAAACTAAATTAGAAACACTTTATCGCCAACAGAAACATGTTGCACGACATATTAATTTTAAAAATCGTTTTTATCATGCTAAGCTTCTTTTAAACGAAATGAATATTCTTAATATATATCAACTTAATATTTTTAATGTATTGTGTTTTATGTTTAAATGTAAAACACGCACATCTCCAATTTCTTTTCACAATTTATATTCTTTAAAAGTTAAAAATAAATACAATTTGCGTAATGAAAATTTTATTCTTCAACCAGTTTTCAAAACTAATTTTGGTAAGTTTTGCATTTCATTTAGAGGAGCATTTTTATGGAACAAAGTAGTATTAAAACTTTTTGATTTTTCTCAAGAATGGAGCTTTCTCTTATTTAAAAGAAAGTTGAAAAAAATTCTTTTCTCAATTGAAAACATTCTTATATATTTTTAAGTTTGTTTTGTTTTATATTAATACTCATAAGAAATCTTTTTATCGTAATTTATGTATATGAAATCTTTTTTCTTAACTTATATATATATATATATAAGTATATGTATTTGTATGTTTTTATAGAATTAAATGTGTAAAAAATTATATTTTTATTTGAGTGTGAATATTTATATATGAATTATTAGAGGATTATTTTTTATTTAAAATCTGTTTAGGCGGTTCTCGATGACAAGATCTTATGATCTTCCGCGAGTATCCGCGTACTTCTTATTTTAACGCTAACAAAGTTTGTAACTTTTACTATATGTATTTTATGAATCTTATTCATTCTTATATTGTAAAACTTATTTTGAATAAATTAAAAGAACAAAAAAAAAAAAAAAAAAGTAGAAGCCTTTGAACGAAAACATGCAATCAGAGACGTATTCGAATTTTTGGCGCCCTGGCGCACTGTTCCTTTAACCGCCCTTTTTTAAGAATAATGTCAACTTTGATATGGGGTGATCATTAAAAAAAAAACATTTTCTATACCAACATATATTAAGTTATATTAATCACTATAGAAAATTATAATTTTCTATGTGAGTTTTGTTTTGCAAATGTATTTATAATGTCATTAAAGTTCATATCTATGGTAAGTACAGATTCTATAGATAGAATTGCTAACCTATTAAGACGATCACTTGTCATTCGCGACCTCAAATAAGATTTAACCCTCTTTAATGCTGAAAATGATCTCTCGGCTGAACAATTGGACGTTGGGCAGCATAGATATATTCTTAATGCTATATCTACATAAGGAAACAGCTCTTGAAGTTTTTCAGTTCTGATCATTTTATAAACATCTATTATAGTTTTAGGTCTTAAGTTTTCAGTTAAACTCATTAAATAACTTCTGAATTGTATACACTCGTTAGCAAATGAAGACGAAAGATCATTTTTATATACATTTTGAAGTACCTCTGCTTTTTTGTAAACTTCTGATGGCGAAAGTTTTATTATTTGAAATAAAAAGTTAAATTTTTTATTGGCTTCATCATAGCACAATTTTCTTCTTTCTAGTTCAGAATGAAGTTTATCAATTATAGCATAATATGTATTAATTCTTAAAGAGTCTCAAATTTCAAAATTTGTTTCTTCTTCTCTTTTTTCATCTGCAGTTAGTTTTCTTTTTCTTTTGCGTATTTTTCGATATGTTTTGTGTCCTGACTTATTTATTGCTCTCTCTTCATAGATATCAAACATACTCCTTAAATCTAATACATATCGAATTAAAGATTCGTATAAACTTACAACTGTTTCTAAATCAATCTCAACTGACTGCAATTGTTTGCTAGTTTTGTTGAATCTCTCTAGTATATCGCCCCATAATGTGGCCATTATAGCTGTTTCAAGACTATCCAGTTTTAAATATAGCCCGTTAGCTTCTGATCTTGTAATAGATTTTTCTGTTTTATCATCTTTGATAAAAGACAGTGCATTAATTATTTCAATCCAATTTTTGTTTAAACTAATACTTGCATCAGATCTTGCTGACCATCTGGTATCTGATAGTTTTTTAAGAGATACATTTTCTGTTTTAATCAAATTCTTCTGAAGTATTTCCCATCTATAAGTAGAGGCACTGAAAAATTTATAAATATTTTGAAGCAGAATAAAAAATTCAGAAGCATAAATACAACAGTCCACAGCGCACTCACCAACAAGATTTAAAGAGTGTGCCGAGCATGGTACAAATGTTGCTAAAGGATTAACTTTTTTAATGCGAGCTTGAAGTCCTGTGTATCTACCAGACATATTAGACGCATTGTCGTAACTTTGACCACGACAATTATTAATATCTAATCCATGCGATTCTAAAACTAAAAATACAGCATCTGCTAATTCTTCAGATTTATGACCAGAATTAGGTAAAAACCCTAAAAATCTTTCTACCGGACAGCCATTCTTTTGAACATAACGAAAAATGAATGACAGTTGATCTACATGGCTAATGTCAGGAGTAGAATCAATACTGATGGAAAAGTATTTAGCTTCCTTTATTTCTTTCACCATTTGTTGAATAACATTATCTGCCATTATACTTATGAACTGCTCATATATATTAAATGATAGGTATGATGTTGAACCTTTTCCTTTATTTCCAAACTTCTCAATGTGTTGTGCTAAAAAAGGATCAAACTGAGCAATAAGCTCTAAGCTCATCATAAAGTTCCCATTATGAACAGATCCAAAACGGTCATCATCACCTCTAAAAGACATTCCACGAGAAGAAAGGGATTTCACAACAGCTACAACTCTTGTCAATACATTTTTCCAATAATTTATTTCCGTTTCTACTTGATACTTTAGCTTTTGATCAACTCGATTTAATACTTCTTTTCTCTCTTTCATATTCATTACACACAATTTGTGATGTTGTGAATTTTCATGACGCTTGATTTTTTCTTCTCCTTTTTTCCAATCTGAAAAACCAACTGTGGCAAACGATGTAGTGCCACCAAATAAATAGCAGGGAGCACAAAATATTGATCCTTTACTTTCTGAGTAAATCAAAAATGTTCGGTTAATTTTTTCACCATTAACAAGAGTAGATATAAATATACTTTTTGACATATATCGAAAACGAGTACGTCTTACCCCACCAATTATTTGAGTGTAAATTCTTTTTGACTTTTGGAAATTATTGTTCTCTAAATTTTGGTTAAATCCATTGATTGATAAATAATCTATCGTTTCTTGAGTTTTTATCCAATTGGCAGGATCATTTCTAAAGGGAAAATATATTTGTTTAATATACAAAAACCAAAAAATATTATTCAAAGTTTATAACAAATTGTATAAAAAAAACATTCAAGCATTAGGTAATAGAGATAAATGCATAATATAATATAACCAGAGGATATAGGTATCGTTTAAAATGTACAGAGTGTACTATATTTGTTAATAATTTAATTTCCAGCATAATTTTACATGACAAGCGACTTAAAAAAATAGTCTACCTTTGTACATGTTTATAATTGTAACCTACCATGAAAAAAATTAAAAAAAGCTTACTCAGGAACAATACTTTGTTTAGGAAGACTGTTATGTTCAACCATTGGCAAACGTGGTGTATCATTTATTTCTTCCGATTCTGTAGACAATAGAGTTTTACTCGTTTCTGTGCTGCTGTTATTTAGTAATATAAGATTGTCTGGATTTGTTAGATTATCTTTATTAACAGTGAATCTGTGATCATTTTGGTTTCTATAGAGAAAAATATAATAAATTTTGTATAACATGCATGTACCAAAAGATATTATTTATAAATTATATCAAATTTTAAATAAAGATTTTACAATAAACATTCGGGCTTGTTATGTTCATGCATGGACAAACAGGGTGTTTCATTTAGTTCTTTGGATTCTGGAGTCAATAGAGTTTTACTAGTTTCAGTACAGCTCTTACTTGATAATATTAATATTAAATCGTCTGGATTTGATAGGTTATTCTCATTAACAATAAAGCTGTGATCATTTTCATCGCTTGTATTATTTACATTTTCAACTGAAAGCATAAATAACGATTACTACACATATCTACATTTTAGATATAAATTATTTACATTTAATAATAAATAACATAACAATATGAAGTATAAACAATAAATAACAGAACAATATGTACCTATATGTATATATATTTGCTAGAAAGCAAAATTAATAAAACGTATGGTTTTCTAGCTAAATAAACTTACCCGGTGATGTGTGAAGCTGTTTATCTGTAAAGCTAAAATATGTTTCTAACTTAGCAGTCTTTAAAAGTATTTTTGCTTGAGCTTCATTTTTTGCATGGGTTCGTTTTCGGTTTTCTGCGCCACTAAGCTTTTTACTATGAATCATCATTGCTTTTTAAAATAAGAATCCTAAAAAGTGTGTATTATATATATATATTGTTATCATATATATATGATAACAATAATGTTAATACTAAAACTAAAAACAATAATCGAAATACGAATATTTACCTTTTTCAAGACTGTATACTGTAATACAAGGGATTAAGCAGACAACATACCGAAGAACAAAATACTTAGGCCAACAATAAAAAAAACTGACAGCAATCTTAAAAATTCAAAATTATATTGTGCACACGTGGTATATACAAGATGGTTAGCAAAAAAGGCGATCAAAGTCAAATTGCTAATTTAATATAATTAATGCGTAATTTATTCTGCTCATCACTTCAAATTATATAAAAATAAATTAGAAAACAAACTGATTATTTAAAGTTTAAAGTATTTTTAAAGAGTTTTTTTTTTTTAGAAAATGTAAAGAGAATCTTTGAAGAATTATTTCATTTTTTAAAAGTAAATAGCTGTGTCTATACCTAAGTATTTCTGTTAATAAAGTCAATTAAGAGTAAAATGAAAATGTTAGGTAAAACGCACCATTTATTTTTTTCTAGTATATTATTTACTAATTAATAAATAAGGATCAAGTATTTGATTAATAAAAATTATAAATCATTTATTCAAAAAAAAATATAAATTTTATTTATATCAAGATTAGATAGTATATTAAATAAGAACACTCGTAGGAGTAGACCTCGGAGCGCCAGCGTCAGAGTGATGAGCTTAACCGTTAAGCTATCGCTACATACCGTATCATTAAAATATTTATAATAAATAAATAATTTGTTTAGACACGTGACTTTCAGTATCAAATCAACGTTTTTAGATGAATAATTGGCGCATAATTATGTATAATTTGCAAGTTTAATTTGATCTCCTTTTGATTGATATTTTCTTCTGCTAACTAAATTTTTCTAAAATCAACTAGAGATATTTAGTAAGTCGATAAGTAGGTCTATGATTTGAACATAATAATAATATAAAAATTTTCGTGAAATGATATAAATAGACTATTTTACAATTTTCTAAAATTCTAACATTCTGAAAACTGGCGCCCTGTCAAAACATGGCGCCCGGGGGCCAAAGCCCCCCCCTGGCCCCCCCGTAAATACGTCTCTGCATGCAATATCATATTCACTATAGGGTTCACTTGATAATTTCTTTAAGCTAGACTTAACTCCCAAATATTCAGTGAATAAGATGCTTTTGTCTTTAGTTTTAAAACTATATTGAAGATAATGTATTATTTGGATAAACTGATTTTGAATCAATAAAAGAATTGCTAACAATATTTTTATAAGAGGAAAGCATACACTTTTCGCTGACAAGTGTACATGAAACAGATCTATCATTAATGGTAGATATAGATGATACCTCATTCATATTATATTTTTCTGCAAACATATGAATTGTTGATTGATTGGTAAAATTAACTTTTTTACAGATTTTACATTTTAAACATTTCTTATCTGGAATAAAAACGAGAGGCACATAATGATTGTGTTTGTATGGACATAAAGGGTTTATTCCCTCAAAACAAAACAACAAATTAACAATATCTGATGATGAACATAGAATACGAGGTTCAATTTTAAGATTAAACATAATTTTATATTTTAGGAGAGAACCAATTGTTCAATAGTATTATTGAACTCTTGTAAAACACACAGTTGAAAGCGCAAGAACACAATGAAACCCAGATCATACAAAATCTTTACACAAATGATATGCTTCTTCCTTAACAAGGTCATTTTTCAATTTTCCTGAGTCTATAGAATATGTGGATACAGACACTGCTAACAAATTATCAATTGATGAAAACTCATTCGGATACTTTGAGCACAAGCTTACAAACGATGGATGATTACTGTAAAAAGAGGCATTTAAATATAAATCAATTGCTATCAGTATTCTTAAATCCATTGCCAGACTGTTATCACCACACAGATAAATCGAAAATGAACTAAATAAGCAATTGCCAGTTGATTCAGATCTGTAAAAAAAGCAATTAAAAATTTAAAAAAAAAAAATAATAATCTACAATAGGCTCAATGGAAAATAAAATTGGATTTAAACATTTATTTACAATTAAGCCCATGGAAGTTAAACATAAAAAATTAGAAACAAATAAATACATATATATATATATATATATATATATATATATATATATATATATATATATATATATATATATATATATATATATATTATATATATATATATATATATATATATATATATATATATATATACATATATGTATGAATTTTCACACACACACACACACATATATATATATATATATATATATATATATATATATATATATATATATATATATATATATATATATATATATATATATATATATATACATATATATATATTAACATTAGCTGCATGTTTATTACTATTGTTGTTGTTAAACTATTGATTTATTAATGCTTGTGATGAAGAATCGATAACAAAATTATCTGCGGTGTATCTTTGAATGAAAAAACTTAATTTAATATATTGCGTGTTGTGTGAATATTCAAATTGAATTGGAGTGCTTTCAGTTAATACAATTTCTGCACTACCATTAAAAATAAGGTCTTGTTAACTTTGTGAAACATTCTTTTTACCAAAAAAGTTGTACCATCAAATCGTGCAGGGTTAAACATTTTTTTTGCAGAGTCCATTGTTGTTATTTTAATTAACAGTTTGTTTTTTTTGTTACTGTGTGTTTAACTGTAAGAGTTAAACCAGTCGTCTTTCCTCTTGCCAGTTTACAAAGAAATATTTTACCAATTTCTTTAAGGTAGCTGTCTATCATTGGACCAGCTAATAGCAGATGACAATATCATTCATTTTATCTCCACCAAAAGATTTTCACCAAGAACACTATTAATTATTTCTGTAGTCCATCAGGCTTCGCACTTTCCAACCCTCAGTTCTTCTTCAACCCAAAAGCTATTACCTCTTTCTATAGACATTTGTTTGTTTAAATAAATAAGAAAGTCGTAAATATGTTTTCACCCATACACAGTGGCCAGAAAGGCTTGAAAATGCAAAATAATAAAAAAAAACAAATTTTCAAAAACAAACTAAATTTTATGCCAAATAATTCTTCGAACCTTCAAGAAAGTACACCTCAAATATTTTTGCTCTAGCGCACTGAATTTTTGTATTTCGTCCCATTCAAAGAGAAAGGGTTAAATATCAAATTACTGAAACTGAAAAATGTCTTAATATTTTTTATGTTTAGGGCTAGTTTTTTAAATATATTATATTCAGTTTTACAAATTTAGAAAATTTTGCAGTAAAATGAAACTCAGTGTTAAGGGATTAACTTGAAAGTCACAGAAAGTAAACGATGCCAGATCATTTTCAAAATTGACCAAATTTTATTCCAAAAGATTAGAAAAGTTAAATTTCTGGTCTTTGTCCAACTCTGTCGAATTCTAAACTTTAAAGTATTGATTAAGAATCACTTAACTATTTCTGCTTAAAATCATACCCCCTACGTCCCCCTTTCAGTTAAGGCACTTTTAGAATAATAGAGCGTCTGTATGATATTTTGTTGACTGCGACATTTTTCCGTTAAATGGTCTGGTCTGTGAATTATGAAAAGACGATAAAACTTAAAATGATAATTTTTGCGGTATCATAAAATATAAATGTTTGTAGCGAAAAAATCCAGACCGATGATTCCTTTTTTTTAAAAAAAAATCATCTTAATATCACAATCGCTCGTCCAAATTTAAATAAGATTTATATTAACAAGTTTTTTAGGTGAAATGAACATTATAGTTTAACAATATGATCTGTTCTGATCGTTTATGTGCAGTTTTATTATATTTTATATTTTTTATCGTTTATTGGCAATTTTCAATAACTATAAGCTCTTTCTTGGTCGGAATTCCAACTATTGTCGGAGAACAGAAGAAGAAGGGGTGATTTGATACAAATGTTCAAATATTTGAAAGGGTACGATATTATAAATTTTTACACAAAACCCGAAATGCTAGATAACGGATATTAAACTAGAGGTCACAATAGTAAACTGAGAAGGCAATATACAGGAAATATAAAACGACATAATTTTTTCACAAATAAAGTAGTAAACGACTGTAACAATCTTGAACAAGAAACAATAGACGCAGTCAGTATCAACCAGTTCAAAAAAAAATTAGATGAACATTTTAAATACTAACTTTTTTTATGTTTGTATGTTAGTGTGTTACAGCTGTTAAAGTTACAAACTCTACGTAGTTTGGACTCATCACTCTTTAAGTGTACAGCACTATTATATTATATATTATATATTATATATCATATTATATTATATTTTTTGTGAAAATTGATAGAAATATTGTGTTTTGACAACTATATATAGTTAATATACGTCAGAACCGATTAGAACTAGGATCAGTAGTAAATGAAGAAAATTTTTCAAAAGATTTTAACTAAATTCATATTAATGCCGATGAGCGGATATGATCTAAAGACTACAAATTAGTGTTTTTTAGATACACTATTACGGGTAGTAAAAAGATTTTGAAAATTAAATAAAAAAAAAAAAAAGTTTCTTTAAGTATTATAAAAACCTTGAGCAAAAAAAATTATAGCATTTAAAGATCTTGTTTGGACATAATATGCTGACAAAATTATGAAAATTCCAAATAAAAGTATTCGAATATTTTGTAAATCGCCTTAACTAAACCGAGTGGCATGCCATTGCCTTGGCAATCCTAAATTTGCCGCGTATCCTAAATTGCGCAGCAAATTTACGTACGTTCCCGTAAATTTTGGCGGCAAAATTTACACGAAAAATTTAAAATTTAAATAAAAAATTACAAAGACAACTTTTGATTAGAACATTGTACATAAAAAGTTGGGTATTCATTGGGAAGTCTATTATTTAAGCTACGCAACTAACAGTTTAATTAATTGTTCAGTACTAAATTTCTACAACGTCAACAACAATGTTTTAATTTGAGACATCATCTATGGTTTAAAGGTAAGAATTTTTATCTTATTCAACTTTTCCTATATTTCTATTAGCATTAAAAGAACCAAAGAACAATTTCAGGCAAATTATTAACAGCTCTCTCGGTTGCAGATACTTCATGCTACTCAAACAAAATATAAATGTACAATTTTCATTTGATAATAAATGCAAAAAAACATGCTTAAAAGCATTTATAATTTTTCTTTCAGATGTCCTTGCCACAAAAAGGCACTGAATTGATTGAAATCAAAACTGGGGACATTTGTCAAGTCATGAAAGAGAGTAATGTTGCCATTACGGACAGAATTTTCATCAGAAAAAACTTCAGAAGTCATGCAAAAAACTTCAGAGGAGGCACTGTCTTTTTTACTGCTGAATGATTTATCAAAAGATCAGTATTGTGCAATGAAAACTGCATGCTCAGCACATCTGGCCCAACTACAACAAAATAGTTGAGGCCAAGATGAGTTGCCGACCAAAAGACATTCACCTTTTGGAACATCCAGCATGGGTACCACTGCAGAATCTCCTTGATCACACAGTAAAGAGAATTTTAGAAAAAAATCCAGTCCTTGAAATGATGATAGAGAGCAGTAACAAAGTTGAGCTCTTCACTTTAAGCTGGGTTTTGATGGATGCGGATCATTCAACACACTTCATCAGAAAGACTCAAATGATGAGATTTTAGATGGCAGCACGTTAATGTTGAGTCAACTTGTACCATTACAAATCATTGACTTGAACTGCCCAGAGAGGGTTGTATACCTCAACCGATCTCTAAATTCTGCACAATCATGTCGACCATTAAGAATTGCATACGAAAAGGAGTCAAAAGCTGCCATCAAAAATGAGTCGACTTTAGAAGGAAAAAGCAGAACTTCAGCCTCACATTTTGTCTGAAAATCCAGAAGTCAAAGTTACCTACCATGGATTTCTCACCATGGTGGATGGAAAGGTTTTCCAACAATTGACAGACTGTCCAGCATCATCATCATGCCCAACATTCCATGAGTCTTGTGGGAAAATTGCTAAGCCTGATGGAGATTTTACTCCTATGCCTAGATCTTTGGACTTTGGAGCATCAGTTTTGCACTTTGGCTTGAGAGCTTTTGGTAGCCTTTGTCACATTGGCTACAGGCAGAACATCAAAAAATGTTGAAAGCATTTGACGCCAGAGGAGAAGGCAAACATTGCAACTACACAAGAACATGTGAAGGCACAACTTGCAAAAAAATTAGGCATTATTGTTGATAAAAGACGGGATGGCAGTGCCGGAATAACCACTACTGGCAATGTTGCCCGTATTGCCTTTGACAACCCTGCAATTACAGCAGAGATTTGTAAAATTCCAGTTAAACTTGTTGAGAACATTGCCACAATCTGGGGAGCACTATCAAGTGGATTTGCCATCAATTCAACAAAGTTTGCTGAACTTTGCAAGGAAACTGAAGAAATTTATTTTGATGAAGAGAATGGCTGTGATTGGTATTTTCTACCTCCAACACTTCACAAAATTTTCAAACATGGCAAGGATCTTATTGACAATTGTCCTCTTCCAATTGGACTTACAAGTGAAGAAGGATCTGAAGCCAACAATAAGTTTTTGAGAAACTTCAGAATGCATCATACAAGAAAGTCTTCATAGGCACATGGCATGGCTAATATGTTCCACGGGCTCACAGATTTGAGTTATCCAAAGGTTCAAGGATCATGTGTTGGAAAATGCCAAAGATTCAAAAAGAAGAGAAAACTACCACCAAGGATTGTTTTTTTACTTGAGTGTTTTGAACTAACCACACTAGTCACCAGGCTTTCGTGATGATAGTGATTCAGATTAAGTTGTTGGATATTTGAAGATATTTTTAATTTAAAAATAGTATAAAATTCTTGTGAAAATGAAAACAACTTATTAAAATTCATTATTTTTCTAAATTTTTCGTGTGATAAATATGTTTTCATTGTTATTACAAGTCAAAAAAAATTTTCAAGTTATTTAAAGTGTAAAAAATGAAATGAATTGAACTAAAACTTCATGAAATTCTTGCGGAAATGGTTACAACCTAATGTAATTATCTATTTTTTGACTATATTGTGATAATGATGTTTTTAATGTTATTCTATTATTAAAACTATTATAGTTTAGTCATTTAGAGTTTTTTTTTTGCTGATTCTTTTATTAACATGCAATACAATTTCTGCAAACCATGCAGAAATTGTATTGCATGTTGTTATATAGTTTTGCAAAAATTTTATTTGGATACACTAGCATATTCAAATTTATTTTTACCGAATAAATTTAGTAATATTTATCATCATCACAAGTGTCTTGTGAGAGATCTTTTTCAAAGTTAAATATATTTTAAATTAACTCAGAAATTATCAAAAAAATTTGGAAGCATTTATATGCATTTGGAAAACATTTGAAAGCATTTATATGCATCCTTCCTTACCGATGGCGCGAAACATCCCCAGAGTTTGCTCTGAACCCAAGATCTCTTGCTTATAAAGCAATCGCTCTAACCACTGCGCCACGACTAGCTCTGAAGGGCTAATGAAATAAAAACGATGCTTAAACCATCAAAATGCTTAAACAATCTGGTTATAGATTGGTTTTACCATTGGCTTTATATCAGCAACGAATGGTTGCAAGTTTCAGTCAATCTGAAAATAAAAGAAAAGGAGAACCTTTTTTGTATGTAAAACACCATCTTGTAAAAAAAACTTAGTTTACTGATAATTTTTAGTTGAATTCTAAATTCTTCCTCAACATATAGTTGAATTTAGTTGAATTATTTGGTTAGTTTATTTGTATCTTTTAAATACCAGAGTAGTGTATACTTCGTGATTAGTCGCAAAGGTTCTTAATTTCAAAAATTCTAAGAATCTTAATACAGCACTTGATTTCCACTTAAGCAAATTTCTGACTCGTGTACTTTAAAAAACACGAGGCAGAACATGTTATCAAGTTACTCGTTTCTTTCCTCATTATTTAATATTTATAATAAATCACTTGTTGTGTCGTTTCCTGATCTACCAACTATCGTCTAATTCGACAAACACATAATTTTCTTTTATATAGAATAATATCCAGTGAAATATAAAAGTTCAATTATTTTTAAAAAGTTTAGTTTTCTTTGTCATTTTTTTTCCACAGATCGCACAGCGATGTGAAAAATTTAACAACTAGTATTTAGATAAACTTAAAAAATTAAAATTAGTTTTAGAAACAAATTAGTTTTATAATAATTTAAAATTTAATAGTACGAAAAAAATATATTATAAATAACAATAGCATATATTATAAATAACAATAATAAAAAGAACAACACTAATAAAAAGTTGAAATAAATTATTTAATTTTTATAACATTCATACAAAAATGTTTTTCAGTCAAAAAACACTTTCGAAATTCTTCAAAGTGGTTTTCAAACAAATTCGCACGACGATTCGCTAAAGTAATTAGAATTTTGATACTTTTTAAAAAAATTGAAAAATTCGACAAAAAATGCAGCCTCGTCATTTTCATACAAATATATGTTAACTAAAATAAGAATTAGAATTCAAACTTCATACACTCATGTTACTTTACTGATAAAATAATAATTGATAATAAAAAAATGAATAAAGTTATTATATATTTATATAAAAGCTTATGGTTGTTTGAGTTGTATGGTTTTTTTTTTAAAAACATTTTGATCATAATCGTAAGGGGTCGTCCATAAATTACGTCACGTTCTAAGGGGACAAGGGGTAGCGGTTTTGTGACGAATCATACGGGACTTGTTGCTAGTGTTAGGATATTGTAACGATAGGTTAGAGGGGAGGGGGTCAAAAATTGCGTGACGTAATTTACGGACGACCGCTAATTTGATCTATCAATTATAATTGACAAACGTCAGAAAGCAAACGTCAGAAAAAAAACTTTAAATATCTAATTGATATAGAAAATCAAATTAAAAATTTAATTAAAAAAAATTTCAAAGTCAAATTCCAATGATTATAACTCGAATCCTAATGATTTTAGGTGGAATCCCAATAACTTTAAGTCAAATTCCAATGATTCAATATACAACTAAAAGTTTTCATAGTTTATAATTTAATGTTATTTTAGGTTTATAACACAATTTTGCATTATTATATAATGACTCAATATGTTTTTAACAAGAATTTACAACTTAACTTCTAATAGATTATCGCTTAGCAGAACAATGCCATCCTCAGTGACAGGAACAATATAATTTTCAATGCGCAATAAATAAATTTTTTTGTCAATATTGCAACGCCTCTCGGGATCACTTGAGTTTGGCTCCCAATAATATAAAATATCACCTATCATGTTTTTATGAGGGTACCATCCATCCCATCGATTAACCTCAAGCATCCATTGCATGTTAGGCCAAAGTAAATCACGTTTAGCTTTGCTACTAAGAGCTGCAGTTACACATGTTATATCCACAAGACGTGCTTTTCCTTTCACATTGCTCAAACGCAAATCTTCCGTCATTGAACCGCTTCCACCTTCATTGGAAGAGGTCGGTATGGATGTGTAGCTACTTGATCGATGATTCAATCTATTTGATCGACCAGCTGCAAAAATAAAACGAGGTGCTTTCAATTTTCTAGTATGGTTGCTAAGAAAAATACCACAGTTGAAAATAAAATTAAAAATTCAACAAGTTTCTACAACAATTAATCGATTGAATTAAAAAGTGAAAGTATTGATAAAAATAAAAGCTTTGATTTGTGCTCTTTTGCAAAAAAAAACTACCGAAGTACCGTTACTGTGGAGACTAAAAATTGACCGCTTACTTATTACATTTACCTTTTACATTTAGTAACCTTTTTGAGATTTGGTGATTCAAAAGAAATATTTTTCTCTAAATTTAATTTTGGCTTTAAATATTGTGATTAACTAAAACTTTATTAAACTTCAGATTCGTTTTTTTAAATTTTTAAGTTGAATGTTTTAAATTTTAAGTTTAATATTACCAATGTTATAAATAATAAATACCATTACTTAATTAAAATTTTATTTTATTTTATATACAAATTGCAATTAATAGACAAGTAACAGCCGATTTACAAAAACCAATTGAAACTCTGTGACAAAAAACCCATTGTAGGCTGTCTATTAAGATATCACGCTACAGGAGAAAACTTTAAGTTGTAACTGTTTGTGATAGCTTTGTTAATGGACCGTTCCCTCTATAGAAAAAAGCCGCAATGCATTTTGGTCTTTGTATTCACCGAAAATAAACAAATTAGAGTTAAAGCTTTTTAAAATAAACAGCCAAGTAATTTAATTTAAAAAGACTTTTTAAAATGATTTCAAGTGATACAATATCTTGTGATAAACTAATAACTCATTCTATTAAAGAAAATATTACTGTTGAGTCAACAGCAACAACAAAATACCGCGGTGGCATAACTTGTTGTGTTCCATTATGCAACAATAATTCGCTCAAAAACAAAAACTTATCATTTTACATCATCCCAAAGGAAAGTAATTTGAGAAAAAAAATGGCTATATTTAATTAGTAGGAAAAACTTTGTTCCTTCTGTTTCTCATCGAGTTTGTTCAGTCCACTTTACAGGAGGAAAAAAGACTTATATGAACAACGGTCCATCTTTACTGCCAAAACAAGGTAAAGACAACATAAAAAAACAAGAATCACAGTTAATAGTTCTATTGGATATAAAAGAAAAATAGACGAAATTGAAAACAAAAAAAATGATATTAATTTTTCATTTGAAGAAACCGAGCCTGAAAAGTTAAAAAAAAGAAAATATTATCCTAAAGGACAAACTGAACATTATAAAAACTAAAAAAAAAGAAATAAAAAATATTATTATGAACCAAAATCACACTATCAATCAATTAAAATTTACACTTAACAGATTTAAAGATAATCAAGGGGGTCAAATACAAACATTGAAAAAACAACAGATTTTAATTACAATAAAAAGGGAAGAAGACGCATAATGAGTTTAGAGTCTGAATTATTTTTAGTTTTAACAAGATTTCGTCTTGGTCTTTTGGTCGAAGACATAACGCTGCGCTTTGACATATCCTCAAGTCATGTTAGCAGAATCATTGTGACATGGACTGATTTTTTGCATTCTCAAATGCGTATTCTACCAATTTGGGCAACAAAACAAAAGAAACAATGCCAAAATGCCAAAAAATTTAAAGAAAATTATGAATTTAAGAAAAAATATGAACAATGCCAAAATGCCAAAAAATTATGAATCAACAAGGGTAATTTTAGACTGCACTGAACTATTTATCAAAATGCCTACATCTTTTCGAAGCCAGTCTGCAACTTTTTAACAAGCTCAACTCTAGAAGATGAGAATGAAACTAGAAAAATTGCTTCTGTTCATATTCATGTAGAAAGAGCAATAAAGCGAATAAAAAATTATCACATTTTACAAACACCATTTAAATTGTCTATGGCGCCAGAAATTAATAAAACTTGGATAGTTTGCTGTTATTTAGCAAACTTTTTGCCACAACTTGTTTCAGATAAATAAAATGTTTGTAAAAAATATAAAAACATTTAATCTAAACTGCAAATATATTTTTTTGCATAAATTCAAAGTAAAATTTAGTTAATTTTGGTAAAATAGTTTTTTCCCATTGCTCTTTAAGAAATTTAATACTCTCAATAAAAACATCTTTTTCAGTATAAACTATAAAATCTAGTTCTTTGATCTCTAGTAATGCCATAACACCTTGACATTGATAAAAATAAACATGATTTTGTTTAAGCATTATTTTGCCATTAACAGCAGCAAGAAAAAATGTTTTATCTAGGCAAGCTTCAGCTAGAGTTAAATCTTTTTTTGAATAAGGACATTTAATTTCAATAGCCCTTATTTTTTCATTTACTAATACAATTCCATCAGGGCTTGTACCAAGCCAAGGCCATTTGGGGTTAATGATAAATCCGCATCTTGTTACTGATACATTTTTTATATTTTCATACTTTTTTATTGCGGTGTTTTCATTTATTTTACCCCAATTACAAGCTTTGTTGCTAAAGTTATTTTTATTGTTTTTCAAAATTCTATTCAAAATAGAGGCAGGAAATATACTTTTTTGCCTATTAATAACAAAACCAATATTTGAAGATGTCAAGCGTTTTTTTCTATCTTCAAGCCATAAACTTGTAGATTGTGATAAAGTAGCTCTTTGCAAAGTCTTTATTTTCTCTTTTGATAGAACTAAATTCTTTGAAATAAACATTAATTGAGTTTCATCAAATTCAAATGAGTCACTGAAATCTACTTAAAATCCATTAACTATAGTATCAACAAGATTAAATATAATATCAGAATTTAAATCGAGTTTTTTTACTTTTAGCTGATATTCAGATATTGATGTTTCATAGTAGGACGTGGAATGGTAACTGTTTCCTTTTAAAAGATTTGCAAATGCTATTCCTTCTTCCAGATTATATAAACTATCAGAAAGTTTTTTAATTTTTTCATCGCTTGGATTATGTGCGAAAATTGGGGTTGCACAAAAGTTTCTATTTCCTGATACAAAAGGACGCTTTCGTGAGTTGTTTATATCCTTTTTTAAGTCACTCTTTTCAAAGGAAACTTTAGAAAGCTTAATTGGTTCTGAGTTTTTTCCTTTGGCAGGAACATGCCATTGCTGTAAAACTTCTGTGCATGTTTTATCGAATGGTACAGAGTTTGCTTGCAGCATCCTCCCATACCAGCTTTACAATTACATTTAGCATACAAAACATCTCCTTCTTTTTGACAAAGATGTACATAAATAAGATACTGATTTTTTTTCATTGAAGCTGAAACGTTAGCTCTAATAAGAAAATAATTTATTTCAATGTTGACATTAGGTTTAACAACTAAATTTTTAACTAAGTTCTCCTTAAATAGCTGATACCCTGAGATTTTATGCTTTGAAGCAGCTCTAGCTCCAAAATCAGTTGAACTATCATCTATAATTAAGTATTTGTGTATTTTTTCTTGACTTATATTAGGTAGTAAGGAAAGACATCTTGACCAAGAGCTTATTTGTTCCTGTACAACTTCTTCAGCATCTATTTGATTAAACTGACAAGATATTTCTCGAAATACTGGTTGAGTAGCGATTGAAATGTTTTTAAAAAAACACAGATCAATATCAATAGCATTTGAATCATGTTCCAAACTAATTTCATAGCTATCAACTTTGTTTATTGCTGACATGATAATATGTTTTGATAATTTGTTTATTTTCGGTGAATACAAAGACCAAAATGCACTGCGGTTTTTTTGTTAAATACTTTATATTCAGTGTATTTCTAAAATATGGGAAACGCGCAAGTGCAAACTCGTTACGCTAACTTGTTTATAGAAGTTTATACAAAATTGCGTAAGTGCAAAATAACAAATTTTTTTGAAAAAAAGTAAAATTTTTAGCATTTTTTAGTGTCATTATATAAAAAAGATCAGACTCTAGCTGTTTACTTTCGCCAAGCCTTGCTTCAACAAGTTTCTGCTAATTTTGTAGTTTTTAAAATTCATATTTATGTCTTTGTAACTTCAATTGGTGTATTATTTCATCACACTTAAATTGTAGCTGCACCAGGGTTTAGATAGTGCAAGATGTTTGGGTGGTGCACTTATACCAGTTTGCGCATAAACAAGTTTCTGTAAATAATTTACACATGTACATGTTAGTACTTTTGCAGTTAAATTCTTAAGCTAGGTTGCATTAACAATTTTCGCATATAAGCCAAATTCCAAATTTCAAAATTTGTTCAAAACTTGTTCAAAAATATGTTTTATGGGGTGCTGAAAGATGGAAAAAGGAGTGCTGAAGGATGGAAAAAACTCACCAACTTATGTGATATACGTTATGAACAACTAACACAATATATTTTTAAAGACCAAAAATAACTTACCTTTAACAACTCTTGACGTTGATGCTTTTCCATCTTGATCTTGAAATGTCATATCTTCATCGGATTCACCTCCGCTTCTGTGACAATGCCCAGCGTACTGATTTATTATACCTCTGTAAATTCTTTCAAAAAAACTTTTTATAGCTATAAAAAAGCAAATAAATAATTAAAAAATATATGTATATATAATCTATAATTTTAAAATATACCTTACATTTATAAAGGAAAATAATTTACTTTTTGTGTTTAAATTTCCAACTGATATTTTACAGAAGAAAGGGTTTGTATCAGCATATGATGTAGTCAAGGGTGATACATAAATAGGATATCCTATTGGTTGATCACATGAAGAATTAATCATATTACGGAGCGCTTGTTTAGCATTTTGTATGGAACCTCTTTCTGGGTTGCGATTACGTAAAAATATAAGTTCTTGGAGCTGACCAGCCCAAAGTCCTCTTACACACTCTTTATTAACCTGAACAGTAAATAGAAAAATAATTAAATGAGAACAGTTTACAAAATGTTATGTCAAAATAATAAATAATCTAAAAATTAAAAACCTTGATAACTCTAAAGTTCAAACATCTTTTGACCAGCATAATAATTTTATAGTCATCATTTCCATCATCCATAACATACCTAAAAGCATAACCACACTAACATCAATACCATCTTGGTTAAAAACTTTTTAAAAGTGTTAAAATATTTCATAAAAAATGCTTATCAAGATATTTTATTTAAAAAGGATTTCAAAATGACACTCCTCTTTCTACATATAAAAACAAAGTGATAATAAAACTAATAAAACTAACACTGAATAATGTTAGTTTTATACTTTTATTTTATCAAATTCGATGTAAATTTTTTTTTTTGACAAAACATTTGTAATAAATTGTCAAATAATTCAAGCTTTATTTGGTTTATATCAAGTGAAAACACTAAAATTTTATCAAGTAAATTTCTTTAACCTAATTTAACAAACTTAAATTTTCAGAGCAGATTTTTGTTCGGAAAAATTTAATATAAACATGATTTATCGTTAGATTTTACATATAATTATGCATAACTATATATAAAACTATATAAAATATATGCATAATTATGCATAATTATATATAAACTTAATTTAAAGATTAATATTTTTTTTGACAAAACCTTTGTAATAAATTGTCAAATAATCAAATCAAGTAGAAACACTAAAATGTTTACAAAACATTTTCTTAATTCAAATTTAAAATTTCAGATTTTTATTCAGAAAAATGATATTTTTAAAAAAATATACATATGATCTGTATAAAGAATTGTAAACATAATTTATCATTAGATTGTATATATATAGATATACTTATAAATAAGAATATACTTATAAAAAAAGTATAAATACATTTTGTAATATATCTAAACCAGTTATTAATAATAATGTTTTTTTATTTTTGTATCATTAATATAAATAATAATATATTTTAAACTAAGTATAAATTATAATTAATACCTTAATGCCAACAGATTTGATCTGTTCTGAAGGACTGCTTGTCTCCATTCAGGGTTCCCTTCATGACATATTACAAAATTTTCTTCATGTTGACTAATGGCATCATACATTACTTTATCATTCTCATATTCATCTATGCATGTGAAATGGTCCTTAAAACATCATAATTTAGAAGAATAATAAATACAAAATGATGATAAAAATAAAAAAAAAAAGACAACATGGTCATTAAAAAAGTAAGTATACTTGGTGCAGCTTTAAAGCCATTCTCACTGCCGGAGCAACAACAGAACGTAACAGAGCTAAATCTGAATCTGAGAAGATCCATTCATCTTTTATAGCAGTGACACGAAAGTCACCTTTAAATAAAGAATGAAGGCCATGCAAAAATGATTTCAACCTTGAAATGTAAATTTCACAAGTTACAAAAGTATTAAAAGAATATAAAATTTGTACAAATATTTATATATTAAAAAAAAATTACGATGCATTCCATTGGTTATTTGAAGCTGTCGAGAGAAGACGACGTCCAAGCAAACTTAATGCAAAACACAATGTTACTAGATTACTTTCTGCACCGTCCTCCTCAACTTTCTGAAAAATAAATTTCCTACCATAAAAATGTGCAAAGCTCATAATTAAAAAACAAAAAAAAAAAAACATACATCATTGACACGTTTTTCATTGCAGCATTTAATCCATTCATGGTAGTTTTGCAAAAATCTCTCACGAGTAATCCCACCACTTGTTAAGTCATAATCTTTATCTGTAACTGGACGAAATATTGCATCTAGATCTACAAAGTCTGCAGATTTTAAATCATTTAGTTGACCCATTAATGATGAATCTGATAGCCATTGCTTCAGTTTTTTATTACGTATACAATAGAAAATTATAGACTAAAAATAAATTTTATTATAAAATTTTAAAATAAAAATAAATTTTTTTAGAGCATTTTGATATCAAATTTATTAGAAAGGAGAATTAAATGTCTTACTGTCACATAATAGGTGACAAAAACCTTTCTTAAGTCAAACAACTGAAACATGGTGCTAGCAGTATTGTCATTCACACTATAACCTTCTACAATGTATTTGCTTTGTGCTACTTCCCATGCTAACCAATGTTGAGAAAAACATGAATTTAATGAAAGCATGTTAGCTGCATGACCAGGCTGAAAGCAACAAAATCCTAAATTTTTAATCATTGAAATTAAAAATAGACAACAAAACATGTTGCACACATTAGTAAACATGTTTCACACAGTATTAAACATGTTGTACAGAGTAGTAAACATTTTGCACACAGTAGTAAACATGTTGCACGAAGAAGTAAACATGTTGCACGCAGTAGTAAATATGTTGCACGCAGTAGTAAACATGTTGCACACAGTAGTAAACATCTTGCACGCAGTAGTAAACATGTTGCACACAGTAAACAAGCATCAAATATAAGAAGTATAAAAAAAGTTCAATGAATTTACTAAGATCTAAATTAAAAGTTAATAAGATGGACCTTTATCATCATCAACATCTTCAGTTATTGCCTCTACTTCCCTCTGTTGACAGTAGGTACCTAAATAAATTTCAACTTGAATAAATAAATAGATTTGTAAATAAAATAGTAAATACATTTTTATACAACATTAATTTGTAAACTTTATTAACTTCTTTATAAACTTTATAAAAATTCAAAAATATAATTATAAGTTGCCTCGGAATTCTAATCCTCTCAATTGAAAAGTAACAAAACCATTTCCAACTTCAATAATGTGTACTAATGCATTTAAATTATAAGAAGCCATTATAAAACAGTCTCCACTTGCAAATTTGCCCCATCTTCCAAGAAGAAGATCACCACATAAACTGTTTTGAAGAGAGCGTGTCAGATGTTCATAAAATATTGAATTTAAATTATTGTCATCTGATCCTATTAAAAAAGTCACAAAATAACAAATATATAAACTAAAAAGGTAATTAATACCACTAAAAAATAAAAACTTAAAATAAATAGGAAAGTCATATATATATATATATATATATATATATATATATATATATATATATATATATATATATATATATATATATATATATATATATATATAATATATATATATATATATACATATATATATATATATATATATATATATATATATATATATATATATATATATAAATATATATATATATATATATATATATATATATATATATATATATATATATATATATATATATATATATATATAAGGGTGGGTCATAAAATTTTTTTTTCTTGTTACAGGCTCTAAACATTGCTAATAGTTATTAATATTAATACTATCAAATATGAGAATGATTGTGATAGATTTAAAGGGCGAAATTTTATTGGGAAAATTACCGGTACCCTAATATTTTGGAGAAAAAAAGTTTTTCAAAAGTAGGTCAACCTGGTACTCAAAAGAAGCGAAATTTTATTAAAAATTCGAAAATAATAATTTTATAAAAAACATATTGCTAAAAAAAAATTGTTATTAAAAAACTTGTAAAAATGCACCTTTTTCACTTTTAGTTGAAAAACTATAGTTATTATGCAATAAAATCTAAAATAATAATTTTTATATGAAAAAATTATTATTTTTGAAATTTTTATAAAATTTCGCTTTATTTGAGTACCTACATCACATAATTTTGAAAAACTTTTTTTTTAAATAATAATAGGGCCTGCTAATTTTTGTAATTATAGTTCCGGGTGGAAGACATTGTTCAATTCATAAAAGTAAATACTTTCCTAAATTAGTACATAAAAAAACAACTTTCTAGACCATAGCCAGGTAAGCAACTCTAAAAAAAAACTTTATGACCCACCCTAATATATATATATATATATATATATATATATATATATATATATATATATATATATATATATATATATATATATATATATATATATATATATATATATATATATATATACATTGGTAGCCGAGTATCATTGATATTGATCAGTGATACTCAGGTACCTCTTATACAGCAAACCACTATTGAGAAAAAACTAAAGGTACATTTCAGCAAATGCCTCAGCCTTTTAGGAAAAGGTTTGCCCCACCAATGCTCTCAAATAATATTAAGGGAAAATATTCAATCTTTAGCAGCAAAAGATGCCAAATCATCCAAATAAATTGCATCTCGAGTTATTTCCAATAAAGAATTATCTCCTGAAGGAACTTTTCTACTGGCTAAAGCATCCGGCGGGCCTCCACTTACAGTTACCCCTGGTAAATATTTATACTTAAATAATTTTAACATATATATTGAAATAAAGTCTTGACTATTAAGAAATAACACTAGATAGATTTCAAGAAGTCTATTTTTGACAAGTTTCTAATTTCTTTAAAAACGAATAATTTGAAAGTTTTACATAAACTTACTAAACAAAGTTTATTGTAACTATAAAATATGTATATTTTGGTTTTAGGTCAAAGTAGTGCGCAGACACCATCAAGTGCTCCAAAATTGACCACTGTAGCTCTTGTAAATGTGCAATTAAATACGAGCCTGTCAAACAACAGATTAAAGAAACTTGTTAGAACTATAAACAAAACATCAAGCAGCAAGATGGTAGAGCAAAATTTCTACATGAATTAGAAGACTATTTTCTAACAATTGAGCGATTTCTTCACCTGCAGCAACTTAAAAATCCCAGACGAAAAAACAGATTCTTGTACAATTCATGTTGTTGCTCACTGCAATGATTTATAAAGTCTTGTGAACCATGTTATTCGGTCCCGCAAAATTTCTGGTAGCTATTTTGTTAAGCTCGGAATTGATAGTGGCAAAAGTTTTCTCAAGTTTTGTCTAAGCATTGTTGATACTGCGTTAAGGAATGAAACCAGCTCACCGCACCAACAACAACCTCTCACTCAAAAAAAAACAACCACTCAAAGGACTGGTAAAGACACTGGAATCAAGAGACAAACTATTGTTGGGGTTTCAGAAGATTTGCCAGAAACACACTCCAAAATTGAACAAATCTGGTCACTGATTAATGCAAATGGAGTTAAACTAATTTTGGCTTGTGATATGAAAGTTGCAAATATAATTTGTGGTCTTCAAACTCATTCAAGTATGCACCCTTGCACCTGGAGTGACGTCAAATCCAATTGTCTTGACAAATCTGGAAACTTGGGAACACTGGGCTCAATTAATTCAAGCCTTTAGTCTTTTCAGCAATCTGGCGGAGTTGTTGCTAATGCAAAGCTGTTTGGCAATCTCATTCGAAAGCCATTCATTTGCAGGCCTGTCAATGTTCTGATTTTGGAAATCATTCCACCGATGGAGTTGTACCTCCTCTTAGGAGTTGTCAACCATCTTTTCAAGATCCTTAAAACTGCTTGGATAGAAGCTTTTAAGTGGCCAGCCGCCCTCCACATTTAACTGAGCCCGTATCACGGGGGCCAGTTTGAGGGAAATGAATGCAGGAAGCTTCTTAAAAATGTGGATATGCTGCAGCAACTTGCTGAGACAAACATGGTTCCCAATTTTGTGTGCATAATTGAAGCATTCAAAAGCTTCAATTTTGTTGTCAAGGCTTGCTTTGGATACATCCTTCAGCCAGATTTTGCTGAAAAAATTGAAAACTTCAAAAAGTGTTACCTAATGATAACTGGTGCAAGCATTACACCCAAAATTCACGTTGTCTTCTACCACATCAAGGATTTCATCAATCACAAAGAATCCCCCTTGTAGCCCTATAGTGAACAAACTGTCGAAACTTCTCATCAAGATTTTTATCATCATTGGTCAAGGTATAAGCCAAATAGTAATCATCCAGAGTACAAAGAAAGATTGTTGCACTGCATAATTGATCTAAACAGTAAGCATCTTTAAAGAACATCATTTGAGTTATTAGAAATTAGGCTGCTGAAATTCATATATTACAGCGTATAATGAATATTTTCATCATCTTTAAAAGTAGTATTATAGAGTATTTGTATTAAAAGAGTACATTGAGCTATTTATTAATCTTTTGGTAGAGAAAATCAAAAAAATATTTCTTAAAATGTAATTAGATATTTGATGGTAACACAATGTAAAAAATAGGGTTTAAATAGTTTTCACTTCATTTTAAAAGTAAATGTATTTAAGGAGGTCAATACAAAATATTTTAGGAGATCTACTTTTTTTTTGTTTTACTGGTAGTCCTTTGACCAGGTTTTGCACTTTTTTTTAGCTTTTTTTTCTCGCAGCAGTTTATACGTTAGGAAATGTTGGTATATTCACGTTATGCATACATGGCCGTCAACGCCGGGGAGGCTGGGAGGTCATGTCCTTCTCTCCTTTTTTTTTGCGAGGACCTTTTGTTTTAGTAATATAGGCAATTAATTTAGAAATTATAGATTTTATTTTAGAAATTGTGGGGTTGGCCCCCTCCACTTTAAAGGCCATGTCAACACTATTAGCATAAGACTATTTAAATCACGCTTCAAGTAGAAAATCACTATTTTGGTCTATAAAATGAAAACTGTACATGTACTGATAAAATAATTATAACAAAAATTATTGGTATTACATAGTAGAACACTCATGTAACCGTTATTTTAAAAATAGTGACCGAATTTCAAAGTAATCGGTAACACTTTGAGGTATAAGTAGCAAAAAACTGGCAAAAGTTCAACTAAAACTGCAATAAATCCTACACCAGTCATCCAATCAGGCTGAAATTTTGTCCAGAGTTTGGTGTGACTATTGGCTACATTTCACATATTGAGTGGTTCAAATTCTACAAGTGTTTTTATTGGCGAACTATGAAGTCAAAATTTGACTTAATTTGAACATTCAAATTAAATTATTTTTCGCGGACAAAATTAAATGATTTCAAAACTTGCATCACAGGGTACCTTGATGTGTAAGCTAACTTTCCGTATAAGTGGCATTCTTGGGACAGCTAGGTAGGCATTATAAGGATCCGTGCTAACCGTGTATTTCTTGTGATTGTTAATTTTTCTAATTTGATATACTATTTATACACAGCCATATTAAATATTATCCATACCTCATCATATAAGAAGAATGTGACTTAAAGATTAAACTAAAATTGCTTCTTAAGCCAAAAAGATTTAATGATACAATTACATGACTATGAGTTAATTAATAAGATAACCAACAAATCAAAAAAAATATCAAAAAAGCAGAAATGAAAGAACAACTACAAATTTTACTAATTACAAATAACACATTTAAAAAAGATCTTCCCATTCAAGTTTTAAAACTGCTATACTTAATTTAACTAATGTTTTTATTAGGATAAAAAGACAACTTGACTACTCTAGACTCAAATTCGGAACATATAGGGAAATTACAATATTGAAACTTGTGCTGAACAACTTGAAAAACAACTCAGGCTGAAGCTTCAAAACTGTTTTATAATTTTAATAAATTTGCTAAAATTAAAATTAAAATATAGCATAAAAAAACTTTTTACTATAAACAATAAACAATTTTAAAAAGCTTTTATATATTAAAATTCCTTTGATAAAAGCAAAGGTTTGACATTACAAAAAAGATGCATCTCTTAAGTTAAAAGAACAAATAAAAAATGGTAAAACTGCTGATCTTGTGATCTAACATCCACAATTCATTACCAAATTTTAAAAATAATTATGTACACTAATCAAAGAAGGTAAACACAACTACATACTTTATAATCTATCCATCAGATTGTATCACTCTCATTTATAGAATAATCAAGACTCACAAACCCCCCAAAAAATTACACAATGGGAATATTAAGCACATTAAGCATGTGCTATTTATTATATAAAAATAAAATTTAAATAATACCGGGGTCCATTAGGTTTATTTTTAATGGTAGTTATTCACCAGTATTCTAAATTTTGTTTTAATGGTAGTTATTTATCAGGATTTTAAAATTCAAATGGTACAAATATATTAAGACAGTTAAAGTACCTGGATTGCTATCAATTTGCATAGAAAATCGAGTGTTTGAGTGATCTACTCTTTTTGTGCTAATTAAAATCAACAAAGAATTATTAATAAATACAATTAATTCTAAAAATAGAAATACAAAAATAATAACAAAAAACCAACTTGTAATCTTTTTCCCAAAATTTAACTGGTCTCATATAGGATGTGATAAAAATAGCACTTCCCAAAAAAGGATTTAATGGAGCAGAAAAAAATGTTGAAACAATACTTTGTATAAACAGCATACCACAATCTGAGAATTCCCAAAGTTAAAAAAAATAATTGTGAAGCATATTTTTAATAAAAACATATAGAATTTTATTTTTTAATAAATTGAAAAGATACGAGGTACACTAAATGGCTGAGCAAAAGCATGAAACGCAGAACCCCAAGCCATCTGCCAGGGTGCAGTGTATGTCATAATAAACTTAAATTTCAGGTGTAACTCCAACATCTAAAGTACAACTTTATTAGAAAAAATCATAAAAAAAAAAGTAAAAAAAAATACCAATAATAACAGAAAAGAAACATCAAAATAAAAAAACAAAAAAAGAACAATAAGTGACTTTAATTTTTCAGAAAAAAATATAAAAAAACTAAAAAGAAAAAGTAAGAACAAGTTAAAAAACAGTACTAAAATTAAAATGAAACCTTTTCAACAAAGATTGCCATTATAAAATAATCAATCAAAAATGTTTCTGAATAACCATAGTAATCATATCCAAAAAATAAAACTGTCCAAATCAAAACAACGTGCTGATGAACAGTGTTGGAAAATGCTGATCGCAGAAGCTTCATACTGGTTATAGTTATTATCGCTGATGCCAATCTAAGACATGTAAAAACCAATAATAAAACAGAAGAAAATCACTTCAATTGTATAACAATTACAATGATGAACATTGTTTTGTAAAGTAATAACACGAACAATCATTACATTGAGCCAAACTTGTCAGCAAGTTCATCAGCAAAAATTGTCATTGCACTCATGCATATCAAGGGATAAAGAATATTTTTTTCAATTATGACAAACCAGACATAAACTTTTTCAAACCACATTATTCTTGAATGTTCTAAAAAATTTTGTAAATATAACAATATGATATCTTTTGATGTATTTTTTACTTTTTGATCAATTAAATGTCTTGATCAGATAATATCTCAAGAAGGTAAATATAACTAAATAAGATTAAACAAATATCACATAAGTAAATATGCATAATCATCAATTTTACTTGCATGAATATCAATAATAATGCATAATTCTCAATATTACTTTCATAAATATCAAATTAACAATGCAAACTATCAAAGATACAATGCAAAGTTATCAAACAAATTGCATAAATACTAGTAACTATGCATAACTATTAATATCAGTTGCATACATATCAGCAATAAAGCATAAGTATTTACAATTACAAAGAGAATATAAAAACCTTGGCATTCAAACAAGCTGTACTCATAAGACTTCAAGACTGGTGATGATAAAATAAGCCATGGTAACTGTTTACGCAATTGTGGCAATAAGTAATGTAAAAGAATTCCCAACCCGCCAGTAATGGTATACAAAAAATAGATTAAATCCTGAAAACAAGTTATATTCTGGCTGTTCATAATAAGTTAAACTTTAATAACATAATTAACTTATATAGTAATAAAATTTTAAACTGAAAACAATTAATAAATTAAATAGTTTTATAAATGTATATATACTTGAACCAGAGTTAAAGTAACCTGATTAAAAAAAGAAACTAATTCTATCTCTCCTCGAGTCCTCTAATACTATCTATTACACTCTGACACTATCTCCTCTATTTCAATACTGTATATCTCTTGTTTAACTACGAATCACTTGGCTATAGCTATAAATAATTTTACTGTCGAATAATTAGAAAGTAAAAAACGAACAAGTTTTAGCTTACTTTCAATGATGTAAACACAGTAGATAAATGGACAGCAAACACAATAAAAATGACCAAAAAACATGCAATTGAATCGTGAATAAGACGTGTGGTCTATAAAATGCAAAAATAATTTTGAATTTTCAAACTTCGTAAATTTAATTTTTAATAATAACTATTTTTAAATAATTTTTCATTAAAGTTTTTTTTAAATAGTTTTCATTAAAGTTTTTTTACAGCAAAACAAAGTTTTGCTGTAAAAAAACTTTAATGAAAACTATTAATGACACTCAATAAAAATAAAAATAAAAATGACTATAAAGTAGAAACAGATTATTTATATATTCAAAATAAAAGATACCACAGTATGCATCAGTTTTTCAGGTAATGGATCATAAGTTTCGAGAGGATTGTTTGGGTCTTCTTTGAGACAAATTTTTTTTTTCAATAATTTCCTGAAATACAGAGTTACTTAATCATTATCACTTTCATTTTATTTCATTTATTTCTATTTTATTTTGTTTACTTTATTATCAATGATAAATTAATGTGTAATAAAAATAATGTGAAATAAATTACTTTATAATTGCAACACTGTCATATAATGTCACACAATATGATGTCACATAATATGATGTCATATAATATGATGTCACATAATATGATGTCACATAACATGATGGACACTATTACTTAACACTAAAATTGCACAATAAACCCAAAAAACAATGAAGATTGAACAATAAATCCAGATTTAACAGAAAGCACAACAATTTACAATGAAGTCATATATGTATATATGCACAAAAAAGATTGCACAATCTTCTTTGTGTATATTTATAGATATGACTTTATGAATGATACAATAAGGTTTTAAAATAGCAATAAAAATTTTTTCACACTTGATTGTTACAAGACATTTAGAGAAACAAAACACCAAATAAATTTTTTAAAACATGTCAATAGACTTGGTGCACATTGTAATTAAACTAGATGCAGATTGTTTAAACAAATGCTCTGATCATGTTCACCAATTTACAAAGGTAAATTAGTCAAGTTTGAAGCATTTGAAAACAAGCTTGGAATCAATGTAAGGCTAAAAATTATAGTGTTAATAACTACAGCCTGCAAAATTCAGGTCGGCATTTGGCAATGCAAATGACCTGAATTGCTCATTCTTGTTTGTTATGCCACGCAATTCATGCATTGCTAACATACTTAGCTTAAAGTATGCCACGATTCACCTTTATGCAGTCAAATCTATCTTCACAATTTTCTGAAGTTTTAAACTAGCTCCAATTGCTATCTGTAGTGTGTGAGCAAAACAGCACTAGTTATGGACTGTAGCAGCATTTTTCTGAACAGGAAACTGAAACTCATTAGCAGCATCATGAAAATAAATACTAATACTTTCTCTAGTGTTCCATTTGGAACATTTCGAATCTGCAAGATTATGGATTCCAGCTCCCACTCCATGTTTACCCAATGCAATGTTTCGACCCAATTCACACATTACACAATGTTTTGATTACTAGTTTACATGTCCCTTGTAAAAGTTACTAACTGCACTTTCCCTGGATTCAGCTTCATTAACTTGACTGCTTGTCATATCTTTATGATATGAAATGTTTTTTTTTTTTTTGTATTTTATCTGTTTGTTCAACTTAAATGTTGATATTTATATGAATACAAACAAATTTCCCCAAAATGGAATCAAAACACCAAATAAGCTTTTTAAAACATGTCAATAGACTTGGTGCACATTGTAATTAAACTAGATGCAGATTGTTATTAAACAATACTATATATAGTTTAGTTATGAATTAAAAATATAAAAATATAAAAGTGAACAAGATTCAAAAAAACATTTTTTTATTTTGTTGTCCATCTACAGTTAAAGCTTTTTTGGGTTTCTTTATCGTCGTACTTAAATATTGTTGTTTCCAGATATCTAATGCTAATTGTGTGCTTCACTTTGTTATCCCCATTTTTCCATTTAATTTTATTTCATATTGATATACAAAAATTTATTACCGCATTGGAGAGGGAATGGCAAACATTTACCATAAAAGATCTGTACCCCCTCTAACACCCATGATGACTCATAAGGCATACAACTTTTTTATTAAATCTGAGAAATTGAAGACCTCTATTATTTTTACTAATAAATTAAACAACAATTTGTCTAAACATAATATCGCGAAGGTAGCGAAACAGGTACTGAACAAACGCCTAAAATTTACCTAGCCTTCTACCTACATCCCTAATAAAGTTTACTTTAAATAAACGTATTTTTCAATTCTTTTTGTGAAAAAGTTGATTAAGATTTAACAATTTTACTTAATTTTAAGAAACCAAAAAATAAGAATAACTTATCCCATATACTACATCAAGCATTATTTTCATTGAAGATTAATAACAATATTGTTATTAAAAAAGAAGATAAAGGAGGAGGTATTTGTATTCTAAATAAAGAAGACGATAAACAGAAAATATTTGAACTTTAAGTAGATGGGGGATATTTAATCAATCAATTTATTTCCTAATCAACCTTTACAACAAAAATACAATAATAAAAATCAGATCAAAAAAAAAAATAAAACTTACAATAAAACCTCAGGATTACTTGTTGATCGACTCAAATGATATGAGACTGCAACAAGAAGGCCAGTAAAAAAAGAAAATAAAACATTTTGACCTCGTGGTGTACCTTGTGGTGTAAACTAAATAAAAATTGCTAAAAAAGAACAAACTTTTAAAGTGTTAAAAAAGAACAAATTTTAAATCATCTAAACAATCTTAATAATAGGTTAACAGAAAACTATTTTATCCAAAGCCACGTGATTTATTTTAATATTTTATCCAAAGTTTATTTTAATATTTTTAGTAAAACAAAAAATATTTAAGCATCTTAATTTTTTTCGTAAAAAAAAATAAAGAACTAAAAAAATTCTGTTTTAATACTCATTCAACTTGCTTTTCAATTTTTAAATTCGTCTTTTTTTCATAAACTTTCATATTTTACTGCATTTAATTTATAGCTTTTTTCAATATTTTCTTTCTTTTTTCATCAACACCGTTAAATGTTGATTTCCTTTTATAAAAAATTATTTAAACTTTGTTAATTGATAAAAGTAGTTGACTAAGTTAATAACAAAGGAGATAAAAAAGGTAACTATTAATTATAACTGTATTTTTCATAAAACAATTTTTTAATCCTAAACAAGAGGTTTAGGCTTCAAACAAAGACTAAAACTTTTATTAATCTATTTATTTAAGTTTATAAATCTATTTATTTCATAAACAAACCTCTAACGGAAAGTAACAAAAGCATGAAAGAAAAACAGCAAAAAATAAATTTCTGCACATTGAAAAGAATGAAGCTTGCAAGCTTGTGTGAGCTAGAAATAAAAACATTTATATTAGATACAATTTTACTGTAAATTTTAAAAATTAATAATCATTTATCTTAATCTTTTTTTAATAAAATAATACAATATAAAAATAGTACAAAATGAAAAAATTATAATCAACCAAAACATCTTAACACTACCACCAACTTAATATTACTGCTAAAAAAGTAAAAATAAAACTCATGGTTACCAAAAAAATAAAACTCACAGCTACCACAAAAATAAAACTTACGGCTGCCACAAAAAACAACTTAATACTGTGGAAACAAAAAAACTCACTACTGCCACAGTCATGGACAGGAAAAGAGTGCAATCACACACTATTCCTGACCATGCATTTAATTTATTTTTGCCGCAACTTGACCTCAACTTTTTAGATTTTTGAAAATGTTTTAAAAATGCGTTGAAATAAAGTAATAAAGTGAAAATTTGTTTTTAATGATTGTGTACAATATAAAACATTTACTTAGAATTATCAAAAGAAATTATTTAGTTAAAAAGTGTATTTTTTACGACTAATGTATATGTTGATTTTTTTAAAAACAATTTGCACAACTTATTTTATAAACAACAACAAAAACGAACGTTTCAATAAACTTTTATTTGAATCTTTGTTAACTTTCTAATAAAATCTATTAACACTACGCTAAATGTTTTTAAATAAAATTTTATTACTAAATTTAATTCATAAAGATAATTTAGTCAAAAACATAAAGTTTTTTTTTGTTGTTTTGTAAACTTTCTAATTAAATGTTTTTATACTTATATACTATACCTTAGTAGTTTAAAAATACTTCATTAGAAATTTTGCAAAACATTACAACAACAAAAAAATTTTAAACGCTTTTAAATAAAGTAACAAATTTTAATGATCGTTTTAAATCAAAAACATTAAATATAAATTAATAAAGAATATTTAACAAAATTATAGATAATTTTGAAAATTTGTGCATTTTATGATAGTTTTAATACAATTTTATGAATGATTTTATTTTATAATTAATTTTCTATTTAAACAATTTGTCAAATGTTATTAAAACATAAGAGTTCGCTTAATATTCTAAAAGTATTAGGAAAGATCAAAAGATATTCAACCTTAACATAATTAAAAGCATAATTAAATATTTTTATGCTGGAATTTTAATTTTTCAGTTTTATTTTAGTTGACTTTTTTTTAGAGCTATGGTTTTTAATTGTTTTTTTTTATTAATTTCTCCTTCTTTAAGATTTCTTTCCTTTTTTTAATGTTTTGTTTATAATTTTCATTCTTTTGTCAGGTTGTTTCAGCGCATTTTTAAAGTGATAAAAAGCTATGGCCAGGCTTTTAAAAAAATAATCATGTGCGTGGTCAGGTATCTAGTGCAATCGAACGCCTTTCCTGTCAACAACTGCTAAATTAATAAAACCTACCAATACTACAAAAAAAAATTTAAATAAAACTTACCACTACCACCAAAAACATGCATATCAAGTTGTTCCAAAATGTGCATTATAAAAGTATTAAACTGTGGAAGCAAGCCTAGTAAGAAGACTAATGGAAATGCCAACAGAAAACCTTTAAAACAATAACAACCAATATAATTTTAATTTACATCAGACTCACAGGATTATCTATATGGCAGAAAAGGCATTACCTTTTTTTGAAATTATTTTAATAATATGAATTATATAATTATTTTAATAATATGAATAATATTTTTTTGAAATTATTTTAATAATATAAATCCCGTTAACTCGGACCCTGGATAAGTTGGACTTTTACTTAACTCAGACGCTGGATAAGTCGAACAAATTTTCAATTCCCCTTGAATTCTCTATACATACCAAAAGCTTTGCTTAACTTGGACATTCACTAAGTCAGACAAAATATATATACCCGTTCAGAGTCCGAGTTAACAGGATTTTACTGTATTGTTTTTTTCCATTTATATTTTAAAGTTTGTTTTGAACCACTCTTACAGTAATTTTGCATAAAAACTACTTTTTGTGTTTTTTTATTTTTTTCTTAAAAAAAAAAGCTGTACTTTTAAGTATTTGTACTAATTTAAAATGTTATAGTTAAAATGTTATTATTATGTATAATTTAAAATGTTTATTATTATAGAAAAAAAAACCCAAAATTCTAAAAAGTAGCAGAAAATACAAATAGATTCAAAGTCAAGGAATGAATCTGAAGCAGCTGTAAAAGAAATTGAGGCAAAAGAAAGAAACAGATAGGCTGATAGCTTAGGCTGTAGAGATAGGCTGTAGAGCTTGCCAAGATTAAACAGAATTGGGAATTCTGCAATATCAAAAGATTGAAACTAATCTTTAAAAAAAAAAAAGTAAAATTGCGATTGAGAAGCAATTAGATAACCTAGTATGCACAGGAAATGAAACCCTCCTATATATAATACTGTATTATACTTTTCTAAACTGCAAAACAAAATATGATTTAGGAAACTATTTTGTTATGTGTCAAGTCTTAACTGTATTGACACATAATTTTTTAATGTTGAACATTTAATTTTATTTTTTCTTTTCTACTCTAAGCCTTTTTTGAGATGATGAAATGCCAAACATGCCAATGTTTAAAAAAGCAAGGAATAGACCTCTTCACAGTTCTAATAATTTTGTGCGCGCATATTTAATAGTATGTCATGGTTCCTTATGCGCAGAACCATATGAAAAAAAAAGATATATTATGAAAGCAGTCTTGAAAGAAACAGTTGTTTAAGATTTCTTTTCTTTTTTTCGTAATAAAGACATTTTTAAAAAAAGTTTAATCAAGCTCAAAATTTTTTGTAAGCTTCACAAAAACGCATGATCATACATTGCTTTGCCTTGTTACAAATTGTTATGTGGTCAAGATGACTTATTTTTATAGATTACATAGGGTGTATAGTAAGATTGCATAATGAGTACATTTTTCTCAAGATTGTACATTTTTCACAATCATACTATTACAAATCTAATCACACAACCATAAATTTTTTACGAAAATTGTATAATTTATTTGACTAAGTTCAAGAAGAATCAAATGTTGAATAAAATGATTTAGCCTCCCCAATCAAAGGATCTCTCTCCTATCATATTTAAATGGAATTAATTAAAAGTAATGCCAAAAGCTAATGCCTAATGATGCATAAGATGTGGAAAAAGCTTATTAGTTAGTGGCATAAAATTGACTTCGACAAACTGGATAAATTGTTAAGTAGAATGCCAAGAATATGTATGGCAGTTATTATCTTTTTTATGAAAAAACAAAAAAAATCTTGAGTATACAACTGTTTCTTTCAAGGTTACTATCTTAATTTATATGTTTAGTTACTTGTTTTCATGTGGTTTTGTGCATAAAGAACCATGATGTACTATTAAATACAAATGAAATTATAGGAATTGTGAAGACGTCTATTGTCACCGTGAAAAGTGCAATTAATAGCCCATTCTCATTGAGGTAAAAAAAAAAAATGGAAATGCACAAAAGTAAATAGTATATGTATTTGCTAGGACTTGAATCTAGATTAAATAACTTTAGTCAAATAAGTTAGAATGTAAGCTAATGTAGAGTTATTGATATGGGATGTGTTCCAATTTGAAGGAGATATAAAATGTGTTCCAATTTTTAAGGAGAATTTTGAAGGCTCACAATTTTCAGATAACCTAGCAGAAAAATTAGCGGAATGTGGCGTCATGATTGAAAAAAATTAGTGGAATGTGGCGCCATGATCGAAGAAAATTAAGAAGCAAATGGTTATTGGATATTACTAAGAATGCTTATTATTATAAATGGATATTGTCAGAAAAAAAATACGAAAATCAAAAATATGGATTTTTTTGATATTGTAAAGAAAAACACATGTATTTCATAACTTAAAACTTTAGACAAATTTTCTACACTAATAAAATTACTTAGGTGAAAAATGGATCTGTCATGTAATATTGATGAACCCATGGTCATAAAACAAGAAACAATGATCATGAAATATACACAAACTAATTGAATACTAAAGAAGCTTTTGATAAGCTCAGAACTATTTAAGCAACAACAGTTGTTACTGGATCATATATTTAAACAAGGATTATTGCTATACTTAAATTTCTAGCAGAATGAGGATTGACATTTAGTGTCAAAGCTAATGATAATGCAGGAAGAATGGAACACATCATAGTTCTCCTAAACAGTTCGTGCTTTTTGATATAATTACTGACAAAAAAAGTAAGCATAAAAATTGTATAAAAAGTGAGGTTACTAAAATAGTGACCTCACTTTTTAATTGACAAATTGTATTTGATTGACTGCATTTGATATATTTGACAAATTGTATATTATATATTTGACAAAGTGATACAACTGTTGCTCATTAAATGTTGCTCAATTGCATAATATAAATGTTAATATCAATATGAGTTTTTGTTGAGAGTTTGTCCCCAATTAAATGGAGACAGTGCTGCTGTGAAAACTATTGATTGCTATTTTAACCAAACATTGTAAGCATTGAACACCAAAAAAATTTTTTGCCTTTTAACTATAAAACACGGATACAAAAATCCTTTTTTTTTTTTTTATAAAATATATATATATATATATATATATATATATATATATATATATATATATATATATATATATATATATATATATATATATATATATATTGGTATTAACTATAAAACATACAAAAACCCTTTGTTGTTTTTTTTGAAATAAATAAAAATATATATATATATTAATTGGTATTACTTTTTTACCAACACATTTAAAAAAAAAAATTTAGAGAACAAATTTTTTACAAAAATTTTTAAAAATATTGACATATTTAATAGAAATTGTGCCTACAATATTTACACTTTGCCCCAGACCAATGAAATGGTTAATCTGGCCCTGCGCATTAAAATAATAATACATAATACAAAAATAGTTAAACATTTAAAATTAAACAATTTTATTAAAACCTAATAATAGATCACGAGAAAACTCCAATGTAGCCTTAGAGTACAATGACATATGGTACAAAGTGATAGAGTTTGGACTAATCATTGAAGCTTCATCAGCCACGATAATAAGAATAGCGACAAGACAAAAATAGATTGCACGATTAAAAGCAATGGCAGCGTTGTGACCCTAAAAACAAACATAAATTTATAAATTATGTACTACTATACATGATTAAAAATTTTATTTTACTATAATAAATTATAACAAATTATTTATAATAAATTCTTTACAAACATTAGGGTGATTCATATTTTATTGATTTATGAAATTGAATTTTTATCTTGATTTTAAAATTGAACATATATATAAAAATAAAGTTGAGCCAAAAAAAAAGTATTATTGATAAATTAAAGGGTTTCCAGTGGCCCGATTTTGGGCAAAATATGTTGAGTATTTTAAATATAAAAATAGTATTTTTTAATTTATTATATGAATTTCTTTAATCTTTTAGATGATATACGTTAACTTAAATATTTATATCTTAAAAAATAAGTCTACAATATCTTAAAAAATAAGTCTACAATATCTTAAAAAATGTCTACAATATCTTAAAAAATAAGTCTACAATATCTTAAAAAATTAGTCTACAATATCTTGAAAATAAGTCTACAATATCTTAAAAAATTAGTTAAAAACCAGGACTTCTGCTTAAAAAAAAGTTTTTAATTACTCGATAGAGCATGGAAAATATTTTTTGATTTCTTTAATAACTGTTTCCAAACATGGATGAAACTCTAACCTGGATACTTTTTATAACAACTTCAAATGAGGTCTTATATATGTCATTGATAATTGGGGGTAAGCTGATCCTGACACCTCACTAGTTTAATAACATTTCTTCAATTATTACTTTTTTGTTCTTTTTTAGATAAAAAGACTCTTACTGAATTTACTACAATGTGGTTGAAGATTTTATTGTTAGTTTTGTTGGCTCAAGATCAGTGAAATATTAAAATAATATTTCAGTAAATATATAAAAGATCTTTAAGCTCAGCAAATATGTGAAAAATTTTTAAGATCAGTAAATAAATGGAAGATCTTTAACATCAGAAATTATATGGAAAATCTTTAACATCAGAAATTATATGGAAGATCTTTAACATCAGAAATTATATGGAAGATCTTTAACATTAGAAATTATATGGAAGATCTTTAACATCAGAAATTATATGGAAGATCTTTAACATTAGAAATTATATGGAAGATCTTTAACATCAGAAATTATATGGAAGATCTTTAACATCAGAAATTATATGGAAGATCTTTAACATCAGAAATTATATGGAAGATCTTTAACATCAGAAATTATTTGGAAGATCTTTAACATCAGAAATTATATGGAAGATCTTTAACATCAGAAATTATTTGGAATATTATTAACATCAGAAATTATATGGAAGATCTTTAACATCAGAAATTATATGGTAGAACTTTAACATCAGAAATTATTTGGAAGATCTTTAACATCAGAAATTATATGGAAGAACTTTAACATCAGAAATTATTTGGAAGATCTTTAACATCAGAAATTATATGGAAGATCTTTAACATCAGAAATTATATGGAAGATCTTTAACATCAGAAATTATATGGAAGATCTTTACGAACTTCAACAGAATTATATGGAAGATCTCAAAAATTTCAACAGAGGAAGATTTTTAAAAAGTGGTTCACGTTGTATTATCATCCAAAAATTTTTATTAAAAAGAAAAAAAATGAATGATTAAATATTAGTAAATATTACAAAACTATATTTACAAGTTAATATTTCATTAATAAATAAATAGTGTCATTTAGAGATTAGATTCCTTAATTTGCTTCATATGTTAATTGCAAATCTTTCTTAGTCTTTGCCTCATAATGGTTTTCTCTCCTTTAATTAATACTAAGTAGTAGCTTCTGACAATTAGGTTAATTGTGAACATTGTTGACAAAACTTAATACAACTTTAATAGATCTTTCAGAAATACCATTCACCACTGCAAAGTTAGTGACAAATTTGGAGAAAATCTCAAACTTGTCAACATAACTCCCATAGTAGTAACTGGTTGTTCAACCAAAGTTTATCATTTAGTTTAGTGAGGTTTAATAAACTTAACATGAACCTTGATCTAGAGGAGCATTTGAAACAAATATTTTATCAAGATGCCATAAATGTAATTATTTAAAACTATGTTGGCATCAATTCCCTTTAGGAAAGCTGAGAAGTTTTGAAATGCTGAACATATTGTTTTAACTATTCCCTATATTTTGTAATTTGCTAATAAGTTTTTATATCTCGGAAAGATGCAGCGTAAGAAAGAAGTTTTTAAAAACAAGACAGAATAAAAGATTGAAATAAATTGTGCCATTGCCAGCACTTCATTCTTTTTGTTATGTTATAAAAACTACTTTGTCAACTTATAAGAAAACTGCAAACTCAATATCTGATTCTTGAGATATTAAATATCCTTGGACATAAAACGCGCATCAGACACACACCCAGGAGCTTGAACTTAAAAAACTCTTTAAGAAAATAAGAGTTTATTTCAATATCACTTTGCAATCTCCTCTGGGAAAAATATTTTCCTAAGGAGCCATCCCGCTAAATTTTACAGTATTGAGTATAGGGATTTCTAAGAAAATGTTAGCAATAGAATGGGTGTCACATTCAACAAACTTTGAAGAGTTAATGCAACATTTAATGTTATTCCAGTTTATTTGAACATTAAGTTTTTTGGAGATTAAGTTTTTTTAATGCTATATTTAAAATAGAAGTGTTTGATTATTTCATAATTCATAAATGTCTCTTGCAAGCCAGCTCTAGTAAAATTGAGTTTAGTTTATGACTAAACTAGTCATTTAACTAAAGAATCATATTGAGCTTGTCAAGTACAATGATTGATAGCTAAAAAGCCAAGCCATGCTACAAACTTATACAAAAAAACTAATTTAAAAAAAATGATACTGATAAGCAGTACTCAACACAAAACCATTAACATCTACTATTAGTGCAGGCGCATGTGCAGGCCACTATGTGCCTTCGTGTGCACATATGTGTTACAAGCAAATTTTTTGCTGATATGAGATCCTTGTATGATAAGGATTTGAAAAATGACAGGTGTCATTTTTCAAATCCTTATGATGCAACTGGTCCCCATAGTAACTAATTTTTTTTTTTTTTTGAAATAAATTTTTTTTTATACCAATCGAAAGAGCATAAATCAGGTATTCAAAATAGTATAAAAAAGATATGTTGAAAATTTCTACACAGGGGTAAATATGTTTTTATCAAACCGGGGGTAAACCGCTGCTTTGTGATTTTTAGTAATTTTCAAAATTTTCTTTCTTGAACGCAGATTTTATGTTTTTTGAATTATTTTTTTTATTATAATTTAAGAAATATTAGTTATTATAAAATTTATATTATTTAAAACAAATTTTAGACAAAAATCTTTTTTTTTTTTTGACCTCCGGATTTTTACAACATTATACCTGTTTTGATGAAATAGAATATTTCATGCTTGACGATTGTATTATTTTGAATATTTTGATTATGTTATTTTATTTTTACATAAATCTATCTATAAGAATGCAACAATTTTAATGATTTGCTTTTATTTTTGGCTTTTAAAAACATTTTTATACTGTGTTATTGCTGTTTCACATATTAAATATTATTAACAAATGGAGGAAGAACGAAAAAAAAAGAAAAGAATACTTATTTTTGACTTATTTCTGTTGATTTGATTTAGATATTTATTTAGATATTATTTTCTATATCTACGTAAAAATATAAATCTACATATTTTTACATCTTTTATCCTTTAAAAATACAATTTGGTGCATTTTGGATATGTTCTTTAAGTACTTTTTAAAAGTGTCTTCTAGCAATTACTAAATTAGTTTTCAGATTGTAAAAACCAGTTCGCGTGACGCTTTGGAAAAACTAATGGTTTGTTTAAGAAAAAGGTACTCCTATCATGACCCAGAGGCAACAGATTGATACCAAAAGTTAAGAGAAATACCATGCGAGAAACTAGATGAATAAGGTGTTTATCACACAGAATGTTACAAAATGTTCACCCACTGTAAATGTTTGCAACATTTGCTTGAACAACGCAATATATTTATTGCAAGCAATCCTGAAACTAAACCCATAGTAGACATAGATGAATCAGAAGATTCAAATCAAATGTCAAAAGGTAAAGGAAAATTCAACCATTCAAAATCTCAAGACTACAACAAAGAACTTTGTATAATTTGCCAATGTGAAGGCGGTGAACTTCGAAAAGTTAAGTTTACAGAGACTGGGAAAAAAATGTTAAAAGTTTTCAAGACGCTTATTGATCAAGAATTCTTCCTTAGAATGAACACTATCCCAAATTCTGATGATACTGTTGCAAATGATGTTAAATACCACTTAAAGTATTGGGTAAAAGTGCAGAGATCTGTTAAACTGAGAACAGCTCAAGAAGAAATTCAAGAACTGGATGATATTGGACAGGTTATCGCAGATGTAGAAATCATTGGTTTAGTCCATTTAAACTTAAAAGAAGATGGTTTTGCTATGGATATGAACAACATCAATAAAACTTACAATAACTTAATTGGAAATAATGACCAGACTGAGAATAATTATAAATGTTACTTAAAGAAGCTTCTACAAGTTAACGTGCCAGGAATAGTTTTTTCAAGACCTCCACGCCGTTGGAAGTCCGAATAGCTTTACTCTAGCAAATATCAAGCAAAGGCGATAGATAACTTTAAAAACAATCCGGTTGATTAAACAACAATTTTTGAGGCAGCAAAAATAATTGGGAAAGAAATCCTTGAGCAAAGAAAATGGAAGTTTGACAGAAATTTCACCAGTTTTGATACTCTGACGTCATTATTTTTTTTACTAAGGTGGGTTATACTTGGTTCAAAATAAAATGTAGACTTGTGTTATGTTGAAAAAAAATCCATCGATAGCCGTGTGGATAATATTTTGCAAATTGACTTTAAGAACGATACTACTGACGGAAAATTTGAATTTCATGGAACCAAATGTGTTGCATTTCAAAATAATTCAAATGCTAAAGGAAAGATGCTCAAGATAAAGCATACAAAGTTGCACATGCACATGTCTTTGTAACGCATAGTTGTGTTCTACCAAATCCACCCAAATAAGCCTTTCATGGTTTTGAGTTTCCATGTTCGTTGGACAATCTTTCTTTATTTTGCACCATTGATTGAATTTGGGCTTTTTTTAATGTGATTGACAAGGAATTTAAATTAGCAACAAGGAGTGCTTTTAACTCCTTTCTTTCGGATTCTCATATATCTACGTTAACACAAGGTCTACCGATACATGCAGGTACACCGACTGATTGGAGCAACCTTTTCACTGCATTAAAGCTTTTTCAAGGAATTAACATTGCCGTTACAGGGAGTAAAAAAACAATTGTGACACTTGATCTTCAACTCTATATGTTTGGGAACTAAACAATGGATCTTTTGACCCCATAATGACTGACAACCTGCCTGCACCAATAGCACTTATCAAGTTGAGCGTCTGTCATTGTAAAGGAGACTAGTAATAAAAGCTACACATTTTTAAAAAATAAACTTGTATGTACTGATATGTGCAAGTTTAAAGTATGTAAAAATAAAAATGTAGACGACCAAAAAACTATGCCTATGAATGTAGAGATTTATAAGACGTAACTTATAGCCTGCTTCTACAAGGAAGTGCTGGTACATTGACCAAGAATTTAGCATAGGGCAGCAATCTTTTTTTTTTTATTATTTCAATTAAAATCTCTAATGTTTAAAAACTCTCCACTAATGCGAGCGCAACAAGCAAAAACTTAAATTATTTTAGAGCGCTAAACTGTAGCTTTGCCCAAGATTACATTGTATTTGTTAAGAATTTTGTATTTTTTACCTAGGTATAAAAATAAAAATGTAGACGACCAAAAACTATGCCTATGAATGTAGAGATTTATAAGACGTAATTTAATTATTAAATATTTATAAGATATTTAGTTTATTCGTATTATTAAATATCAGCTTGTAAGCACGTTAATTTTAACATATATTTTCAAAATTTAAAAGGTTTTTGAGTTTAAGAATGAAATCTTAGAATATTTGAAGCTTTTCATTCAATAAATGTCTTTAATTCCATTTATATTACAAGGTTAATTGACCTAATACTGTTAATAAAATATTCTCTGGGGGTCTTTCTATCACTTCATTAAACATTGTGAATTATAAATGCTATTTTGGTTTACATATGATATTGTTTATATGTTTATACAATGCTAATATTAATATATATACCAGCTTAATTGTTTCAGTTTTACTTAATTTATCTTTAATCTAGTAGTAATTTTTGTAAATAACCCCTGGTTTGGTAACTTACAATAATGTCCTATATCTTATGAAGTAAAAATATTCAACATATGTTTTTTATATAACTTTGAAAGCTTATTTAATGCTCATTCTAATAGTAGAAAACATTTTGAAAATAATGATTAAAATTTTTTTTGCTGAGGGGGCCTATTACATCATACCACATGACACAAACCATATATGTTAAGTGACACCTGTCACTTTTCAAATCCTTTTCATACAAGGATCTCATATGAACAAAAAGTTTGCTTGTAACACGTATGTGCACACGAAAAGTATTTTTGAAACATAGTGACCTGCACTATATGCTATAACCATTAACATCTACTAGCTCTTTAGAGAGTTTAAAAATTTATAAAAATTCATAAGATTTATTTTTGAGTAATCCATCTTTGTAACCTCTGTTTAACTATGGTTTAAAAAATCTTGGTTAGACAGAGAAACTCTAAATAGAAAACAGATGTCAGGGCAATTTACAAGATCATTGAATTTAGCAATTTTATTGGATCCAATAGCATAACCAAGTTTTTGGATGGAGTTAACTTGTCTGCTTGAATTAAATGGAATTAATTTTTTATTTGTTGCAAAAGTTGTTAGAATAAAATTTTTTATTAGTTATTCTTCTTCAAAAAAATATACTTTAGTCTTGTAACTTTTAACAACTTATAAAAGTTCTTGAAAACATTTAAAATGTTTTAGAAGGCTACTTATTATTAGCAATTCAAATCTAAAACTTTTAAACGAAATCTTAAATACTTTCTTTTAACTTTAGAAAGTAGTTGTTAACTTTTAACAGGTTATTGGTGTAGTTGTTATTTTGGTATTTAATAAATATTTTTAAATTTGTGAATTTAATGTTTATTGTGCTCCAGGTACTGGGACAGGTTACCCAACCCTCGGAATGCTGACCCTAACTCTGAGGGACAGGTTAGCCCAAACAAAGAATTTATTTAATATTTAATTTGCACCATTATAAAAACTTCGCAGATTATAGTTTTTTCTGTGCCAGGAAACAGTTTATTAGAAAATCAAAAATATTTTTTAATACAACACCAAGTAATAAAATACCTTTTTGTTAGCACAAATCTTATTTTTTCACTAATTTATGAAGATCCTGTAGAGTTATCTATTCACTTTTATAACATCTTCCTTTTCTGTAAATAATATATAAACCAATATATATTATTTAAAAGAATAAAAAAATTTTAAGGTCAAAAAATTTTAAGGTCAAAAAAATTTTTTTTTCTTTTAAAAATAATTTTTATATAAATGGTCAATTTTTAAATCAAGGTGCAAGTTCAATCTATAAAATATGAATCACCCTAACTACCAAGAAAACTAAAACAAATAATTAGTAAAAATTAATAAATAATTATTAATAAAAATAGTTAAATAGTAAAAATATCTAATTAAACTTAAAAAATATCTTGTTTAAAAAATCTTATTGAAAAATATTGCTTGTACAATTTATGCTATATTTCTATCATCTGATGATCTTAATTCTATCATCTTTTATGTTTTGTCTAACTATCCTAGTTCTTATGTCTAATATACTTCATTTTATAATCCTAAAATTTTATAGTTCTATCATGTTAGGTTTCTAATATTATAGACGTTCTACTATCATAACAATCTTGTCTTTCAATTTAATTCTCTATATATAGTTGCAATGTTGCAATGAAAACCTTATAGTAAATAGAATAACTATATAAAAACTCACATGAACAGGTGATGCAGAGTCTGGTTGAACACTCTAAAGAAAAATTAAACAATTTTAAACAATTTATCATACCTTTTTTTTTCTTTTATTAAAACTTTTTAGTCACACTTTCAATAACGAAAATTGATACTTCGCAATCACAAAACAAACAGCCAAAAGTATTTTAGTCACACCTTTGTTAATGAAAATTGACACTTCAAATGACAAAACAAATAACAAGCAGCAAAAAGTATTTTAATCATACCTTCAATAACGAAAATTGACACTTTGCAATGACAAAACAAATAACAAACAGCCAAAAGTCATAGAAGTAGTTTCTAGTGATAAGTAGATAACCAAGAGCAGCCACAAGTGTTGCAAGCAATACTGATGTAGTTATTTGCATTATGTTTTTATTTCTAAAATTCAATACATTTTTTTTACATACACTTTTATTTTAACTATGCATAGTACTTAATTGAAAGTTTATCAAAATAATA